TGACTACATATACAGGAATCAGAGTTGCCAATTTTTGGGAGATGATTTATCTGCCCCAAACACCTATAGTAATTAGTTTGAAAGAAAATCGTTTTCTTAGGTAGTGAGCAAAATTTCAAGATTTTTCTATAAAGCAGTTGCTCAAATATAAGTACAGTAGAGCATCGATTATCTGAATGCCGATCAACCGAAACGTCAGTTAATCGAAAGCACTTCACTCGGACTACGTTGTGCTGAATTGAATGATTTTGATACTAGATTAACTACTAAAGTATAATTTTTTTGTTTTTATATTTTTCAATATATTTATTTTGCTTGTACAAAATNTACAAAAAGGGACATAATTCAATAAAATATATATTATATTTATCAAATTACTGCCACAATAATTTAGCGCGAAATAGATGCGTTAATAGGTCGTTAATGCGACAGATAGCACATACCAGTTGCCTGCGTGCAGTGTAGCAATGTTTTGTCCCCTTTTTCGTGTCGGTCATGTATCTAACATCGTTTGGGGGAAAATTTTTGTATTGAAATAACATGAATTACGGTACAAATCGGAAGTTCGTATATAGCCAACTTCACATAAACTTCATTCTGGGATACATCCTTCCTCGTACGTCACTCAAGTGTCGAGTTGCCGTAACCAAATAAACAAACGAATTCTAACCAGCGATTATTTATTGTGGCATCGTCATGATGCCGGGCTGCAACTTTTCGAACAGCGGAGGGCAAGGCTGTACACGCTGCCATTGCAAAAAGAAGTGTTCCACAAATAAATGCAGTTGTAAAAGCAAGGGACTCTTGTGAAATTCAAAATGTCATAACAGTTTAAGTTGTTGCAATAAATAAAATTGTATAACGTTAATCACATAATGTATGTGTAAGTTTACTATTGCGTATTATTTTTCTTTTCTGATGAAGAATGCAGTGCTCGTTTTAGGTTCAATAGTTTATTTACATGTGTTGTTACTTAAGCTTTCTCCCATTTTAACTACCGTTCTTCTTCCGAAGGTTTTGGAGATTTCTAACCTTTCAAGTTGTTTCGATCGAGGCACTATTTTCTCTCGATGGCGTCTGTTTCACTGTTTAGAATTGTGTGTTTACTACATCGGGCTATCTCCTTATAGATGTAACAGAAGGCCTTGTGCTAGGTGACTACCACATCGTGTGATAGAATTGCCTAGGCTGAAACATTCGGAAAGGATAAATATCTACAAACTGTTCGGGATAATGACTGCATGAATATAGATAGTCCATTTATATGTTACTGTAGGCCTATAATCATACAATTTAGCAAAATCGCTATAAAGGAAATTGCCTTCAACTTTGACGTTAGAAACAATAATGTAACGAAACGATGACTTCATCTATGTTTATACATAATATGTTTTATATTATCATCCTGTTATTGGACGCCGTTTACTAAAATCGTTATAAAAAGTTTTAATTGGCAAAAATTTGAGCTTTTGTAATTTTGAGTAACATTTTGAATAAAATTCATTTGTTTCCATGCAATTTTATCTTTATAAACATAAACTTAACCGCTCGGACATTCAGCCTTCATAATGGTAGTCTAAATCCTGTATCTATCAATAAAAGACCTAAAAGATTGAATTGGAGAAAACTGGTTTGAAATGAACTTTATTACACTTACATATAGTAGAATTTAGCAAAACTTTTGTAAAAGTTTGGTGGACATCAAAGCCGTTTAGTTTGAATTCTTACTAGTACCTTTTATTTATATATATACAGTAGAGCGTCGATTATCCGAAAGTCAATCATCCGAAACGTCAATTATCCGAAAGAATTCCAGTCGGCAAATTTAAATTTTTGCCAGTGCTGTGGCGCTGCAATCTTTGGCTATGTCTTCGGCTACTCAAATATTTTACGTTTCTGATACTAAATTAACTTCTGAAGTATAATTTTTTATTGTTTTAATATTTTTCAATATATTTATTTTGTACGTACAAAATAAAAAAATAATTTTTAACGCTACAATAGTCTTTGTTAGGCTTAACATCGACGAAAATTCAACGCGAAGCAATATGCAACAGAGAAAAATGTCCAGATGGGATCAATTAATATATTTTTTCGTTTATAATCGGTTATCCGAAACATCGATTTTCCGAACAACCCCAGGCCCCAATTGATTTTGATAATCGACGCTCTACTGGATATATATAGGCTACATGCATACAAAGCCAATAAAAACGATTTATTCTAGCAGATGTGAATGATCGAAGTGTGGAGATTGGATGGATGAATTGATGGAATATTTCGGCGTTATCCCATAGAAAGTCCTCTCGAAAGGCATCCCTTGGTATCCAAGGGATGCCTTTCGAGAGTACTATCTATGGGAATCTGGTTTCTACTTAGGTGTTAAACACGAAAAAACCTGGAAAACATAAAAGCAGCCCGTTGAATCGGCTTGAACCCACAATAAATTACTAGTGTTTAATGGTTTTGTCTATTCGGCCATTAATGGACTTTCTGTGGAAATCGTCTGCTATCCAAATAATAATGAATACAGTATTTTGAAAAATATATTAGGTTCTAAGATCTGAAACAGAGAAAATACTCTGTTTCAAAACATTGTAAAAAATTGTACTTTGTGATCTGGATTTTCTGAACATACGATAACGGGTTTCTGAAAATGCTTGGTGTAATGAAGAACGGGCCTTGATATATCGGACGGTAGTCCGTCTGATATATCCGAACGGACTACCTCCGAAAAATACCTAGAAATTTTTGATTCGTCCGGATTTGAACCAGGGTTCCCCAAAACAATAGGCTGCAATCTAAACCGTTCAGTCATCAGGCTAATGAATCTGGATTGCGTGGAAATAATTGTGCATGAGCAGAGCTGCAAGTGTAACAAGATCCATTGGCGATCTATTAATATATATATAGGCCATTACGATGATATAACACCATAGAATTTGAACTATGCCAGTTGCATGGCTGAGGTTGTTATGGCATTAGCTTATCTCTAGGAGAATCGAGAACATCACATTCTTGAACAAAAAACTGAAAATTGACTAGTTACAGGTTTCTTTGCTCTCTGTTAGGTCGCCAGGTTTCTTGAATGTCACTGAAAGTTAGGTTTGGCACATTTAATAAAATCAAAATAAAAGGTTATAAATGTATTGTACAGCTTACACTTCGTACGCGCACATACCATTACAAAAATTCCAAATCAACAGACAATTTTCTGACCGATCATTTCTTTTCGTTTTTGACGAGACGAGAACGAGAAGAGAAGGGATTTCACGACCGAACACCCCAGCATCAAATCTAGACGGTGGAGAAACTCCAGGAATTTTTCGGGATTGGTCTGTTTCGGATATGTTAGTTCCATCCCTCGCTGACTGGCAATCTCATTATGGGCCTGAATGTACCCATAAAAATCCCGAAAAAATGTCCTTTTGTTGCCCACAAGGCAGAAAGAACAAAAAGAAAAAAAAAATATCATAAAATTTGATGTCTATTTTATAAACTAACTTTTAAAATAAAGTGTTTGCTAGTATAATACAAGAAAATATTAATACACAAATTAATAAGAGCTCTTTACAAGTCTATGCTAAGAAATATTTTCGTAACAAATTATAGAAATTATGTTTGGAATACTATTTTTGAATTCGTCTTTTTGTAATTAAATACTGTATATACCTTAAAAAGGTGTGAAAAGTGCGTTTTGAATTATCATCATAAAAAAAAAATACATTTATTTCTTTAGTGTAATTTTCGGGCATTTATGGTCTACGTTTAAGTGTATCATAAAAACAGTAAATTTCAGAAAGGGTACTGTACTTTCCACGATATAAAGTCGTAGTTTATCGTGGTACAGTACTTCTATAAACACGAGCGAAGTCGGTTCCATTTGATGCAAAGACGACACGCTTTCACTCTGTCATACGAGCGGCGATGATTCAATATTAGGATATGATTGAGCAGTTTTTTTTATATTCAAGGAATAAATTTCCTACATATGAACTTGCTAATTAACATCCCTGAACGAAATTAGATAGATGACCGGCACGACTCTATTGCCAACAGGAAAAGTACTGTATAATGTACGGGGCACTACTAAAAAACTGAGAAAATTGTGACGAAAAGTTGCAGACCGGCATTGTGACGATGCCACAACAAATAATCGGTTGTTAGAATTAGTTATGTGGCCAGCCCATTTGCCACGCCCAAATCTAGGACTAACTGCCAGAGTTTGGTGGTGGTTTTATGCACTCGGCTACCGAAGTGCGCTTATTAAAATTAAGAAAGTACTGCTTAGAAATAAAAAAAACCCGAGTGGATAGATGTAGAAAATTAAATACTTATACAGTAGATTTTTCACAGGGTAACACTCGTTTTGCACACAGGCAAGTGCGATATGCTACCTGTCGCAGTAATTATATAGGGAATCTCTTTCGCGCTATATCAATGTCGCAGTAATTAAGTGAATATAATAAATTTTAAAATTATATTTAGTTTATTTTGTTAAATTTTTGCGAATAGATGGCGCTACGTGCAAATCAGCAAATTTAAATAATGTAGATAAAAATTAATTGATTTACAAAGATTCAATAGACATTTTGGGTGGGATGTACAAAATTATCTAAGTTAGGGGTGCGTAAACGTAAATGCCGAGTTTCGTAGCAATTGGTCAAACGGCCTAGGCATGTATAGCGAACAAACAAACAAACAAATAAACAAACATTTATATATACAGATCATAAAATATAGTTATATTAACGGATAATTTATTCCAGTTTTCACTTAAAAATATTATTTATAATGCCGACTTAATATTATATAATTAATATTTAAACAATTTAATACAGTATACTATTCGCCACTTAAACACGAAAGATTTATTATATAAAAGTTGTTTAATTATTTAACTATATCTGAATAAGATTAATATTTATATTAATTTATAAAATCTAACGTACGAAATTAATTAAGAGCGATTTTAGAATAAGAAGGAAAAAGGAAGAAGCTTATTTTTCACTTAAAATGGCAACGATAGGGGAATTTTAAGTATGGCGTAGGGACTTAGGCTTTGGTTTTGTTGGGCTTAATTACTGCGTAAATAAGTTTAAGTAAGATTTTAGAAGTGAATATTTCAAATATATGATCGGAAACTAATCGTGATTGCAATAAAGGACTTTAAATTGAAGGAAGAAGTCGAATAATGTCCTACGCTTCACGATTTGTTTCTTTTGTGGCTAATTCCTATCCGAAACAACAATATAAAAAGATTCCTGAATATGGAAGCGATAGAAAAACTTCAATTTCTCAGGTAATTTCTTTATATATTCTCTTAATTATAATAAAAATATGTTAATTACAATTAATTTAAATTGTCATTTATACACTTGTATGGGTTAATTTGAATATATAGTTTGATTGTTAACATTTTATATTTTTTCATTATATAATCATATAGTGAAAATAGCATGCAGAGTAGTGTTGATGAATTGCTATTGACAATCAAGAGATTTGTCATTTTTGCTTGGTTATAACATAGTTGTCGACCACCAGCTTATCCCTTTTGTCAGTGTTTTTAAAGAATTTGATATTATTGTATAAACATTTATTTAATGAGCCTGAATCAATTATGGCTGACTCTTCGGCGGAAGGAAATAAGTTATTTTACAGTTATATTAAATTAGTGAGTGGCGCTACTGTTTCTCTGCCCAAAAAGAAACGTCTGAACTTAATAATATATAGGTTGTATGGTATGAACTTTCTCAAGAAAAGAAACTAGATGGTTATTTGAGATTTGTGGGATTTTAGAAATATTTGTAATCTTATAAAGTCCCACAAATCTCAAAGAATCATCATCAGCCTTACTATTTTACAAAGATTTGTATTCTTTGTAAAATGGTAAGGCTGATGATGGTTTTATCATACACAGCTTTGTTTGTTTCTTACCAGCAATGTAGGGCTTCTTCTGCAAAAGGAAAAGATATTCAGTGTGGTAAGAAAAAGACAGAGATAGGAAATAAATAACCAGAAAAATTATTCTCCTTAATAATTGCATGAAAAGTCAATAAACCGACTGATAGCAACTGTCATGAGTACATTGTACTGTAATAAAAGAAATTAACAAAACAAAACATCGCACAAAGGCATATAACAGGAGACACTCGTCATTCAATATCAAGATTCGTGACACATCAAGATGTAACACATCATAAATATAGGTGTAGATTTATAATATGTCCCGTAAAATATTTGACCTTTCTTAAATTGTGATGTTAAAGAGTATAAAGCTAAATTGCCATATTCTTGACAGTGTTTATGGCAATAGCTATCATAGATATCATACATCAAGATATCATACAGAGATGACATTAAATTTTGTTTATTAAAGGTATTTAATATAAGCATTGTGCAATATTAAATAAGAATAAAGTTAATGAAATAAGTTAAAGAATTTTTAGTTTTTTATGTTGGGACATTAGTTATTCCCCATTCTAAAGGTTGGCAAGGCGTAATCTTTAATCCATTAATAATTATCACAATAGTCACAGAAATGTAATTTAATTAAGCTTATGTACTTAATATAATAATTTGTAAAAGATTATTCATGCTTTATAAATTTGCATGATTTTAATCCGAAAGTGAGAGTTATACAGTGGGTGATTGGTTAACAAACATAATCCATTCCAAGACTTTGTTCGTTATCCGAATTGTTCGTTAATTGATTTGATTTACCATAGGTTTTTATGGGAATTTGATTAATTTGTTCTGGAGTTGCCAAAAAATAAAAAATATATACTTTTTACTACGTTTATTTATATGTAATAGTAAAATACGTATATATGCAGTCTTGCATATATACGTATTTTACTATTACATATATACGTATTTTACAGACTCTTTGTGGGGGTTAAAGAGTCTGTCCAATGTCAATTGCTTTTCTCTTTTCTTCAGGATTTTTCAGAAATAATTAATAGTATTGTAATTGTAGAGATCCCCAACCCCATTAACCTTATTCTGGTTTGGATGCCACTTGGATGATCGTTGTTCTGACATCTCTGGAGTTCTGTCGTCAGATCAGTTTCAGGTTCCATTATGAGCTCTAAAATGCTCTTTATATCTCAGGTGTGATTTTCATTACTCCATTAGCAGCTTGAGACTTCTTGATATATCTTTCACTGCTAAGATTGTGCCTACTGTAGACCTGTTCAAGCCATACTGCCTAGCACCATCAGACATCTTGTGCCCACTTTCTACCTTGGCTATTGTCTCTTATTTGGTTTCTATTGGTGAGCACAGTTCTTGACACTCCTCTTTTCAGGCTCCATAATATTATCAGTTTCTTTTTTAAATAATAAGTTCAGAAAAGTACTTACAAAAATTCAGAGAACAGAAATCAACTAGCCCACAAAAATTATTTAAATGCAAGGCCCAGATGAAATTCAAAATTTGGTATTAAAATGGTGTGGTGAGAAAGCACATTAATTAAGTTATAGCTATGCCAGCTAATATTTACTGTAAAGCGGTAGTAGCTCTTACAAAAACAAGAGTGAGACTGGATTTTTTATTGAAGTGGTATTAAAACGTTAACGAATATCTGGTGGGACAATTAAACTTTCACCTTTCGTAAATAAACCCTGATGCAAAACTTAACAAGTACTCATCTGACAGTCTTGCAAAGACTTTAAAAAATTATTTATCAGAAAGATAAATAAAAAGCTGGAATTACAAGGGAGAGTTTCAAAATTCGGAGGTATACTATCCGATCGATATCGGGTTGAGTGTCGATGTTCACGTCTCCTGCACTCCGAAAGATTTAGAATTGTTACCTGAAGTCAAGGGAAAATCAATCAGTATTCGTTATTTTCTGTTGCATCTTTTTATGTTTGTTCAGTAAAGTGTTCGTTGTTTGATCATAAAAATCTTTCGCAAAAGTGTTAGTTATCTGAACTGTTCATTAACCAATCACCCACTGTATATTGAATTGATTTGTGTTGTATCATCAATGATTTTAAACTTATAGTAAGTTTGTTATTGCAAAAATGATAAATAAATATGAGTGAAAACCATTAAGTTATGAGTAGTTCTAAATGATCAGATACAAATATATGTAGTATGCTCAAGATGCCTGTGGAAATATCTCTAATGTGTTTAGGTGGAATGAGAATGATTCGGATTTTTTAAAATACATGTCAACTATGTACTGAGTCACAATGCCTAAGGTGGTGATATTACAGTCGGTTTGTGATGTGTCTTTTCATGCATTTTGTGACATGATGAAAGTGAGATTTTGGAGTATGGTTCAACAAAAAGTGTTCTGTATCGAAGAAAGATTAAACTTTGTGTTCTTTTGAAGAAGACACCTCAATAAACTCTGGAAATGTTATCTGCAGCTTACAGAGTTCACTTCTTACCCTACATGAAAACACACATGAAAGCCTGAAAATTTGTCAACACAGATGATGTGATTGCCACTGTGAAAATTGCACTTTAGATGGTTGAAAATGAGGGGTTCCAGGATGTTTCCAAAAAAACTATATGACTGCTGGATGAAATGTGTTGCTGCAGAAGGTGAATAATTTGAAAAATATGAATGTTTTCATCCATTATCCACAAACATCATCAGGTCATGAGTCCGTAAGACTGACTACATATACAGGAATCAGATTTGCCAATTTTTGGGAGATGATTTATCTGCCCCAAACACCTATAGTAATTAGTTTGAAAGAAAATCGTTTTCTTAGGTAGTGAGCAAAATTTCAAGATTTTTCTATAAAGCAGTTGCTCAAATATAAGTACAGTAGAGCATCGATTATCTGAATGCCGATCAACCGAAACGTCAGTTAATCGAAAGCACTTCACTCGGACTACGTTGTGCTGAATTGAATGATTTTGATACTAGATTAACTACTAAAGTATAATTTTTTTGTTTTTATATTTTTCAATATATTTATTTTGCTTGTACAAAATAAAGAAATAATTTTTAACGATACAATAGCCATGATTATTATTATTAAAATTATAAAAATTTTCGTTAGGCTTAACATAGACAAAAATTCAATGCGAAGCGACATGCAATGGAGAAAAATTTAAACATGGGATATATTAATATACTATTATTGGGATATACTAATATACTATATTAATAATGTATTTTTTTTATACATAATCGGTTATCCGAAAAATTGACTTCCCGAACAACCCTAGTCCCCAATTGATTTGGATAATTGATGCTCTACTGTAATTAAAAAGTGCAAAAACTGCCAAAAAACTGTATTTTCTTCTCCTCCTTTTGTTTTCATCTGGCACTATAGACACTCTTAGAGAAAAACTACTGGGTCTAAAAAGCTCAAATTTTAAACATAAGCCTTTCTTGTTATCAGTAAGGTGATGGCCAAACTTCTGGGTCAATAGGTCAAAGTTCACTGGGGTTTCCATAGAACTAATTCAGTTTTACATCTTAATTGTATGCTTATTAGGATAAAATTACATGGAAACAAATGAATTTTATTCATTCATTAGTTGGCACTAACCAAAATGAATATTGAAAACGTTCGGTTAGCAGCAGATTTGATCGGCAACATGTTCAGTTGGCAATCACTGACTGCTGACTGATCTTGTCTTATATAATATTACAGTTATTAAACAAAAACAATTGATATCTGAACAAAAATATCTGAGATGTAAAAAAGTTTTGCCAAGTAAAAATTTATGACAATTTAGATAACAGTTAAAATTTTTCTTAGGAGTTTTTCTTTGGTAAAGATAAGCTTGGCACTCGGAAGCAGTACTCACAAGATTTTTGCTTGTATTATTATTTCCTACATTTTGCCTCCAAGCACCAAGCTTATTTTTACCAAGAAAAACTGTTAAGAAAAATTTTGACTGTCGTCTAAATTGTCATAAACTTTTACTTGGCAATTTTTTGTCTCAGATATATATTAACAAAACCAAACAGAACAACTTTAAGCAATTGAATACATTTAAATGCAAAAGGTTTAAAGTGATTTGAATTGCGCATATGTGCATTGGTACAGTGTTACCAATCTAATACATGGATGGATGTTCATATTAAATAGTTTTATTGGTTTGGGTATTTGGTGTGTTTTTCATTACATACAACCAGTTTTTGGAAGAAATGAAAGTTTTCTAAATGTATATTATAGTCAATAAAAAAGGCAATAAGAATCTTTTACACAAAATTTTTTTGAACATACCATGTATATGAATGAATGTATTCAATATATTTCAAACAAAAAACCTGTGATAAAATAAACTTTGTATTTGATAATAGTATTTAAAGCATTTGTTGAA